CCGAGGCAAGAGGAATCCCAACTCCTGTGGGATTCTGTGAGGCACGGGGAGGCAGCTAGCCCCCTTCTAGGGGAATGACAGAAAGGATGACACAAAGCCTTTTCCACATGCCTCCCTCACCTGGCTGTGATCTCCCTGTTTCTCAGCACTGCCTTCTTGCCTACCTGAAGCCCCCCTCTATGTCCTCCTCCTCCCTTAATCTTTGCTGGCAGTTCTGTACTCGGTGGTGCCTCCAGCAGTGAACCCCCTCATCTACAGCATGAGAATCAGGAGCTCAAGGATGTAGTATGGAAAGTGATGACTGGAGGTTTCCAGAAGGAATAACTGTCTGTGTTCTTAATGTTAACTGTATACATACCCAGAAATCTTTCTATTTGTTTCTATTTTTTTTTTCTTTTTACTTTGCTTTACAGAATCACAGAATCACAGAATTTCTAAGTTGGAAGAGACCTCAAGATCATCGGTCCAACCTCTGACCTAACACGAACAGTCCCCACTAAACCATATCCCTAAGCTCTACATCTAAACGTCTTTTGAAGACTTCCAGGGATGGTGACTCCACCACCTCCCTGGGCAGCCTGTTCCAGTGTCTAACAACCCTTTCAGTAAAGAAGTTCTTCCTAACATCTAACCTAAAACTCCCCTGGCACAACTTAGCCCATTCCCCCTCGTCCTGTCACCAGGCACGTGGGAGAACAGGCCAACCCCCACCTCACTACAGCCTCATTTAAATGTATCTTATACAGAGCAATAAGGTCACCTCTGAGCCTCCTCTTCTCCATGGCTGAACAAGCCCAGCTCCTCAGCCGCTCCTCGTAGGACTTGTTCTCCAGGCCCCTCACCAGCTTTCGTCGCCCTTCTCTTGACCCGCTCAAGCACCTCGATGTCCTTCTTGTAGCGAGGGGCCCAAAAATGAACATAGTACTCGAGGTGCGGCATCACCAGAGCCGAGTACAGGGGGACGATCACCTCCCTAGCCCTGCTGGTCACACTGTTTCTGATACAAGCCAGGATGCCGTTGGCCTTCTTGGCCACCTGAGCACACTGCTGGCTCATATTCAGCCGACTGTCCACCATCACTCCCAGGTCCTTCTCTGCCTGGCAGCTCTCCAACCATCCTCTCCCATGCCTGTAGTTCTGCTTGGGGTTATTGCGCCCCAGGTGCAGGACCCGGCACTTGGCCTTGTTGAACTTCATACAGTTGACCTCAGCCCATCGGTGCAGCCTATCCAGATCCTCCTGCAGAGCCTTCCTACCCTCGAGCAGATCGACACACGCACCTAGCTTGGTGTCATCTGCAAACTTACTGAGGGTGCACTCAATGCCGTCATCCAGATCATTGATGAAGATATTAAAGAGGACCGGCCCCAGCACCGAGCCCTGGGGAACGCCACTAGTGACTGGCCTCCAATCTGGACTTGACTCCATTTACCACGACTCTTTGGGCCCGGCTATCCAGCCAGTTTCTAACCCAACGAAGCGTGCGCCAGTCCAAGCCAAGAGCAGCCAGTTTCTTGAGGAGAATGCTGTGGGAGACCGTGTCAAAATGCCTTGCTGAAGTCAAGGTAGACCACATCCACAGCCTTTCCCTCACCCACCCAGCGCGTCACTTTGTCGTAGAAGGAGATCAGGTTCGTCAAGCAGGACCTGCCTTCCATAAACCCATGCTGGCTGGGCCTGATCGCCTGCTTGCCCTTCAAGTGCCGCATGATGACTCCCAAGAGGATCTGCTCCATGAGCTTCCCTGGTACTGAGGTCAAACTGACCGGCCTGTAGTTCCCCGGGTCTGCCCTCCGGCCCTTCTTGTAGATGGGCGTCACATTTGCTAGTCGCCAGTCAGCTGGGACCTCCCCCGATAGCCAGGCCTGCTGATAAATGATGGATAGGGGCTTGGCCAGCTCCTCTGCCAGTTCTCTCAGTACCCTTGGGTGGATCCCATCCGGCCCCATCGATTTGTGCACATCCCAAGTGCCGTAGCAGGTCACCAACCAGTTCTTCGTGGATGGTGAGGGCCACATCCTGCTCCCCGTCCCCTTCCTCCAGTTCTGGGTACTGGGTATCCAGAGAGCAACCAGTATTGCCGCTAAAGACTGAGGCAAAGAAGGCATTAAGCACCTCCGCCTTTTCCTCATCTCTTGTAACTAAGTTTCCCCCACATCCAGTAAAGGATGGAGATTCTCCTAGTCCTCCTTTTGGTGTTGATGTATTTATAAAAGCGTTTTTTGTTATCTTTAACAGCAGTAGCCAGATTGAGCTCCAGATGAGCTTTGGCCTTCCTAATCTTGTCCCTGCACAGCCTCGCTACATCCTTATAGTCCTCCTTAGTGGCCTGCCCAATTTTCCAAGATTATAAACCCTCTTTTTTCTCCTAAGCTCAAGCCACAATTCTCTGTTGAGCCAGGCTGGTCTTCTTCCCCACTGGCTCATCTTTGGGCGCATGGGAATAGACCGCTCCTGCGCCATTAGGATTTGCCTCTTAAAGAGCGCCCAGCCTTTCTGGAACCCTCTGCCCTTCAGAACCGCCTCCCAAGGGACTCCACCAACTAGTGTCCTGAGCAGCCCAAAGTCAGCCCTCCGAAAGTCCAATACAGTGGTTTTACTGGTTCCCTTCCTGGCCCCGCCAAGAATAGTGAACTCCACCATTTCGTGGTCACTCTGCCCAAGACTGTTCCTGACAATCACATCCTCCACCAGTCCTTCTCTGTTTGTGAAGAGAAGGTCTAGCAGGGCACCACCCCTGGTAGGTTCACTAATCAGCTGTGTCAGGAAGCTATCTTCCACTTCCTCCAGAAACCTCCTAGACTGCTTCCTCTGGGCTGTGTTGTGCTTCCAGGATATGTCAGGGAAGTTGAAGTCCCCCACGAGTACAAGCGCTGACGATTTCGCAACTTCTGTCAGCTGCCTGTAGAACTCCTCATCCGTCTCCTCATCCTGGTTCGGCGGTCTATAGCAGACCCCGACCAAATGACACAAAGGATGACACAAAGCCTTTTCCACATACCTCCCTCACCTGGCTGTGGTCTCCCTGTTTCTCAGCACTGCCTTCTGTGCCTACCTGAAGCCCCCCTCTATGTCCTCTTCCTCCCTTAATCTTTTGCTGGCAGTTCTGTACTCGGTGGTGCCTCCAGCAGTGAACCCCCTCATCAACAGCATGAGGAATCAGGAGCTCAAGGATGTAGTATGGAAAGTGATGACTGGAGGTTTTTCAGAAGGCATAAACTATCTGTGTTCTTAACGTTAACTGTATACAGACCCAGTAATCTTTCTATTTTTTTCTATTTTTTTTTTTTACTTTGCTTTACTTTTATAGTGTTTCCCGCAAAGAAATATCATTGTTCATACCTTCCTACACTGTATGTAACTTTCTCACGTGACTCCAAGTCTTTGTATAAATAGTGGTTCAGGCTTTCTGTGTATTTTAATAAAAGAAAGGACCATGCATTGACTTACTTGCCTGATACCCTTCCTTGTAGACCTGTGGTGGAGCTTCAGGGGCACGTGGCAGATTGCAGAGGTGGAGGGAAGAAGGGTCCTGCCACATCAGCACTGCCAGGGTGCAGCATTGCCAGGCTGCACCTGTGATTGTTCCCTGTTCTTGGACAGCACCCACAGAGACAGTGAATTCACCTGCCTCTGTACACAATAGGTGAGAGGGATGATGGCAGGCAGGATTCTTTCTGGAGGAAAGCGGGAGCTTCCTGGAGAGCCCAAGCGCTCAGCAGTGACAGTGTGTACCAGGGAGTAAGTAGCACATGGAGCCCATAGAGCACGGGCACATCCCAGGTGGAGCCACCCTGAGGTGCTGAATCTGGGTTTGAACAGGCAAAGGAGAGCTCTGTAACTCCAGGGACACAGCAGGCATAGGGAAAGCTCTCTGCTGAGTTATTTGTTACACCTCTGGTGAAATTTCATGGATTTAATACAGTGAATCACCCCAAAACATATCCTTACATTGGAAGTGGGTCACTTGTGCATCATCTGACATGGGAAGTGGGTCACCCTTGTGGGTCCCTTCCAGCTCGGAGTATTCCATGAGTCTCTGACTCTGAAGAAGGCCGCCTATCTGTGCCAGCTATCCATGGCCAAGGAACCATTTGTGCGGGAGGCAGTCAGTGCCAGTGCCCCCCACCAGCTGGCTCTGCCTCCCCAGCCTGACCAACATGGCCCTGCAGAGTGCCCCCACGGCTCCACTCACCACAGCCCCCTTGCTCTACAGAGCAGCACCACCAGCTGGGGGGCTGTGGGCAGCATGGGCAGAGGCTGCAGGAATGGCTGCTCAGGCCATCGTCTGCAAACTTACTGAGGGTACACTCAATCCCCTCATCTAGGTCATTAATAAAGGTATTAAACAAGATAGGCCCCAGTACCAACCCCTGGGTGATACCACTTGTAACGGGACGCCAACTGGACTTAACTCCATTAACCACAACCCGCTGGGCTTCCATGGCCCTCCAGACAGTTCTTCACCCAAAGGAGACTATACACAGCCAGGAGAGATGACCCAGATGGATTAAATAGATGCTCCAATAGGTGTTCCAGCCCACCATCCCACTACCAAAAGCACTTCCCAGCCTGCAGCAGAAGAGCCTGTTGGGGAAGAGCTTGAGGGCTGTGGGGACCCACTAGCAGGAGCTGGTGCCAAGTCCTGCCCAAGGGTCCAAGACATCTCCCTGTTCAAGTCTTGCAGCTGAGGTATCTCTGCCCATGGGTGCTGGGCAGGCATCCTTGGCCTCCATGGGGGCCCAAGGCAGCAGAGGGTGGGAAATGCCAGTGAGTGTCTCATGGAACTTCCCAAAGATCCACTTTGTCTGGAAACTGCCTGTGGCTGGCAGGACAGAAATGTTTCTGTCAGTAGGAATAGTGTCCAGGGACCAGGGACTCTGTCAACACCACAGCAAGACCACGATCCTGCTGGCTCTAAGATGTGCCCCTTCCCAACTGCTGCATCTTTGAGCTCTTCTCCCCTCCATCAGCCTCAGGGAGACACCATGACACCTGGGCAGGGAAGCACTGGACCTGGGGCAAAGACCCCAGAGGGTTTTAATATGAGGAAATACCAACACACAGCATAAAAACAGGGGAATACCAAGAGGGGAAATACCCATGTGCGTCTGCTGACTGCTGGAAAAGGGACACCATTCCCTGGCACTCACGGCTCTCCCAGTGGCACTGAGCTCTCCTCCCTCCCGGCTGCACCCAGCTGCTCAGCAGGGCTGGGCTCTGCTGGCCTGGGGCTCTGGAACTCTTGTGCACGGGGCTCTGGTGTCACATCCTGGGTGTCCTCATGGGGATATGCCAGAGACACCTCTTCAACATCGTCATAGCCTGTGGTCCCCAGGAAAGGTGACGAGGTGTCTCCCTCAGCTCCACGGACCACAGCACTTCTCCAGGAGTGCAGGCTTCCCCCTGTAAGCATCAAGGCAGGCTGCTGTGGTTGGGCCTGTGGGGTGCCCCTTCGGGCTGTTTATCACCTTCCTCATTCTCACCAGCCTGAGACACTCGGCCCATTCTCCCAGCCCCCACAAAATATCCCAGGACAGGTTCTCCATATGGAGGTGGTCAGGCTTTCAATATGGCATGGATCCTCCTAGGCCTGGGGTTGGCACCTAGGAAGTGGCAGTGCTGCATTGCCCTCTCACCTGTGGCTGCATCCCTGCGCCCATCTCCTTCCTCTGGTGTCCTGGGCACTTCCCAGTCCCCCTGCCCAGGGACAGGATCCTCCCCAGGGTCAGAAACCTCCCCAGCATCATCATAGCCATCCGCTGGGTAACCTCCAGGCAGGACAGGGACATCTGAAAGGAGAGGGAAGGTGGTGGCAATGAGAAGAGATGTCCTGCAGAGCAGAGGATGGGAGGGTGTGTGGGACACAGGGCTGACATGCTGCTGGTGTCAGGGTCACAGCAGAGCCTTCATGCAACCAGCTCTGTTGATAACACTCGGTGGCCACTGCTGTCTGTCTGGTCTGTCTGCAGGGAGGAGAAATTGAGTCCTTCCCCCCCCCACCCCCGCTCTTATCCCTGGGTGTGGCCCCAGACCATCCTCCTCCTCATGTGCCTGGGGTAGGGCTGCAGCTGGGTCAGGGACCCCTCTGAAAAGGAGGCTGCAGAGAGCTGCAGTGGGTGCTGTGGGATGAGCCCTGCTGCCCTGACTGGTGGTCAGCACTGCTGGGGATGGGCAGCCACAGAGCTGGGGGTGCATGGGGAGGAGACCAGTTCCCTTGGGACAAGGCACTTCCCAGAGAGGTTCCCAGAGCTGCCCTGGGACAGCCCTTTGCTTAACCCTTGGCTCTCAGTAAGGAACAGGGAGAAGCAGAGAGGGGCTGTCCCCTCTGGGATGGGCAGAGCTGGTGTGGAGGAAGCTCCTCCGTGGGGGCCAACACCTGGATGCTCTCCCACAGACCCCATGGTCCAACCATTTCAGGGACCATGGGCAGGAGCTGCAGGGCACAGCCCTGGTCAGAGACACGGAGAATGGACACAGCAGATGTGCCCCCACAGGTTACCTGCACCCACCTGAGACCTCGCCTGCTTCTCCCACGCCAGGCTGTAAGCGATCTCCTCGTACACGGCCTCAGGGAAGGGCTCCCCAGCTCTCCCGGAGCCTGAGGACAGAGGCACGGCTGGTCTGGGAATGGGCAGAGAGGGACAGGACCCCACTGGGCTCCCCCAGCCCCATTCCCTAGGCCAGCACAGGGCTGTCCCCACAGCACAGCCCCACTGTGTTGTGTTGACACTGAGGCCACATCCCCAGGGAGGGCAGCATCCCCATGGAGATGGTCTGGGACAGAGTCAGCCTCACACCATCCCTTTGGAGACAGCCCTTGTGCCCCTTTGGTCCCTGGTCACGTCCCATTGCAGACCCTGCACCAGTTCCCTCATTTCCCTTCCCCATGGAGCTGCTCCATCTCTTCCCCATACATCAATAGCACAGCCCGTGCCCTGTTGGGGGGTGGCTGACACAAAGGTGATGGACTCTGCTGCCCCATGCTCCTCCTGCCACAGCTGCCCAGAGCACTGCCAGCAGTGCATCCTCCCTGACTCACCCAGCCCAGATCTCACATTTCTCTCCTCACCCCAGAACTGATGCCTCAGGCTCTGGGCTCTCTCCACCCCTTGATGTTGGTGCCCCATGGTCTGTCAGTCAGTGGGGCAGCACATGGGGCCGGAGGCAGCACACGGCTCTGTTTCTGTGCCCCAGAACACCAAAACCCCCAGCCCTGCCAGGAGGCATCTCCCCCCCAGGACCACTGGGGAAGGGCCCACCTCTGCGCTGAGCCCTGGCGTTTCGCACCTGCCCAGCCAGGAGGGCCAGGAGCAGGCAGAGGAGGGCCCCCAGGATGATGCAGATGACGACAGGCACCGAGAGTCTCTCACCGCTGGTGGTCAGACGGCCCCGTGGGGGATCTGCATGGGCAGGAACATGGCAGGGGCAGCATCAGACAGAATTCGGGGGCAGGACATGCCACTCCCGACCACACAAGGCAGTGGAGGCTGGGGACGTCAGGGCTGGGTGATGGGGCGGATTCCACCCTGATGGGTACATCACAGACTTCCCCCAGCTTCCACATATTCCTGGGACTCTCACAGCCCAGCATGTAGCCCCCTCCTCCTGACTGGTCTTCTCTGAGACCCTGCCTGGAGATGCCTCTGCCTCCCCCAGTGACTGATGGCAGCCTGACCAGGTACTGATGGTGGGCATGGGTAGTTTTAAAAGCTGAAGTCACCTTTGTTCCTCCAGCAGCTACAAGGTCTAATGCAGAAAGCCAAAGCTTCTCTGGGTTCCTTCTCTGCATTTCACCATATCCTGCGGGGAACAGGACCTGGTGCCTTGATGGCTCAGATTTACCATTGCAGGTGATGTGGGTCTCTTCTCGGAGGTCATCACAAGACTGCGGATGCCAGGGAGCAGAGGGACACTGCCAGAAGGAGCTGTTGCTCTTCCCACACTCCACGTGATCCAGCCATGCAGTACCAGACAGCTTGGCATAGTTAGAACGCATTTCCAGTTCCCCTTCATTCCCGCAGCCCAGCTCCTTGCACACCAGTGACACTGTCTCGGTGGTCATGGAGTTGGAGCAAACGCTGCCCCACGTCCCGTTGTAGAAAACCTGCAGGCGCCCGGAGCAGCCGTCGCTGTTCTCCAGCCTCAGGGCCATGAACTCTGGAAGGAGGAAAGGCCCCAGGGACGTCCTTGGATGTCAGCCACAGATGGCCTTGGCCCTACCTGGCTCTGCCCTCACCCCGACCTCACTGGCCCCAGCTCCCAGTTCCATTCCCAGCACAGACCTGAACAGATGACTCCCGCATCCTCTTTGTGCCTGCAGTTGTGCTGCCCCCAGGCCTTGGCAGGGCAGTCCCAGAGAGCAGCTTCGGCCCCGGAGCAGTTGACGCCATCCAGCCAGATCTGCCTGGAACCCTCCCCAAACCGAGCAGAGCCGGCTGCCTCCAGGGCCCCTCCGCAGCCCAGCTGGTGGCAAACGACGGCGGCGTCGGCCAGGTCCCAGGCGTCGTCACAGACGGTGCCCCAGCGCCCCTGGTAGTAGATCTCTACTCTCCCGGCACAGCGCCCGGCCCCGTCCACGAGCCGGACCCGCCGGCTCCCTGCAGCGGGGAGAACCCCGCCCGTCAGGGGCTGGCTGCCCTCCTGGACCTTCAACTGGGGGACGTGCAGCACCACTCACCCTGGCACACGACCACCACATCCTCCATGATCCCTTCTGTTGGCATGCTCTGAGGCAGGGAGGTGTTGCAGAGGCTCAGGTCAGCCTCGTGCCCTGCACACTGCACCCCACGCAGCCCCACAGGTCCTCGTCCTCGCTCGGCCCTCACGGGGGTGTAGGCTGCCTCTGCCTCTCCGCACTGCAGCTGCCGGCACACCACGCTGGCCTCCTGCATGTCCCACTGCTCCTCCAGGACTCTGCCCCACGTCCCGTGCTGGAAGACCTCCACGCGCCCGTTGCACCGGCTCCCTCCGCCCACCAACCGTACAGACATGTGGCGAGCCGGGCCTGGTGAGAGGAGAAATTCAGCCTGGTGCTGCCGTGGGGTGCAAAGCTGTGGATGGCCTTGTCACACTCCAGGGCCAAATGGACTTTGCAGCAATGCCCAGCACTCACCTGAGCAAATGACAGCAGCAGCGTTCTCCTGGGAGCACGGCGAGGCCCCCAGGGCAGTCACCGGGCACTGCCCCAGGTGGGCTTCAGTCCCGTCACAGTGGAACGAGTCTCTCCAGACGGGGCCGGTTCCTCTCCCAAAATGCCCTCCTCCTGGAATGGACTCAGCAAAGCCACAGCCGAGGTGCCGACAGAGAACGTGGGCGTCCGAGAGGTCCCAGCGGGAGGCACAGAGGGTCCCCCACGTCCCCAGCACGTTGACCTCCACCCTGCCCTCACACGCTGTGCTGCCATTCACCAGCCTGAGCGCTGTGTACTCAAGGACAAAGGATGGTGAGAGAGGCCACATTTGTGCTCTTGTTACCACAGGAGCTGCAGGAGAGGCCAAAGGGACAGCGTGCCTGTCTCCTCCTGCAACACTCTAATTTTAGGGCTGCAGACCACCACCTCACCCCACCTGTCCCCCACCCACCACAGCCCAGTGCCACCCTGCTCTCATGCCCCCATCACAGGCCCTGTGGGCACCATCCCACCCCAAGTCCTTACGTGTGCAGGTGACATGAGTGCCATTGCTGTGGGTGCAGGCCTTGTCCTTGGGGGTCCCCGTGGGGCAGAAGGAGAGGACGGATTCATTCCCCACACACTGCAGCTCTCTGTCCCAGACAGGACCGGCCCCTTCTCCCAGCTGAGCCGCCCCATGGACAGACAGGGCTGTGCCACACTGCAGCTCCCTGCACAGCACCTCAGCAGCTTTGGCACTAAAGTGGGAGTGACAGACAGCTTTCCACTGGTCCCTGTCGTAGATCTCCACACTTCCTGAGCAGGGGCTGTCCCCTCCGACCAGCTGGACAAATCCTGGAGCAACCAAGGAGACCTGTGAGTTCCCAGAGCCCTCTGGCACTTCTGTGCCCACCTCCCACCTCATCCCTAAGGCAGCCACATGCAGAGCCCCACGGCCAGCCCAGCAGCTCTCAGGGTGTGCTGGTGGCACAAAGATGTCAGGGTCCACCTGCTGCTCCTCAGAAACCAGCCCAGCACCCATGTCCTCTTTTCCAAGCCCCCAGCTGCAGGCACCTCTCAAACTGCTGCTGCCCGGAGCCCCTGGGCTGCCTGGCCCCAGACCCAGCACTGCAGCACCCGCAGCACGTGGGGCTGGGGAAACAGCCCCAGGAACTAAGGGCTACTTCAGCCTGCTCTGCCCCACAAGGCTCAGGCCAGTTAGAAGAAATCCTTGGATCTGCCATAAAGCCCCCCTGTTCCCAGGGAATGCTGGGGCTCTTGGGGAGCTGCTGTTACATGGGGCACATTGGGGGATCCTCTGCAAAGGGGGGTCCTCCAGTAGGGACTGTGTGGTGCTGGGCATGCAAATCCCCAGCCACCTACCATGCATGGGTCAGGAAAGCAGGCAGAGAGCAGCCCTGGGCTGACACGAGCTCCCGGTGTGAGGGCAGGCACCGAGGAGAGCCAGGAGGTGCTGGCACAGCCTCTGGGGCACAGAGCAGGCAGGAGAGGCTGAGCAGTGGGTCAGCAAGGCCTGGAGGGGCCATGTCTCCAGGGGCTGGCTCTCATTGGGTGACCCCGGGACAGGAACAAGGTGCCACTTGCCACCCTGCTCCTCTGCACAAGCCCAGTGCTCCTGCCCTCTGAGCAGCCCCTCTGCTTTGGCTGAGGTTCTCTTGTCTGCTGGGGGTACAACCCAAAAGTCCTGGGCCATTGCACACCCTTCCCTGAGGCTGCTGGTGGCTGGGGGAGCTGCTCTAGATTCCCCTGGCATAGGGACCAGCCTGCCAGACAGGGCCTGGGTGAATGGAGGAGAAAGATGGGAACCAGGCAGCACAGTGGGGAAGGGTGGGGGCTTTCCTCTCCCAGCACCAGGCACCTCCCCAGGCTTGGCTGCTCCAGCTTCAGGGCCAGGCTCAGTGTGCTCCCACTGGGCTTTCCCAAGGGACAAGGGACACCAGCAGTGATAGACGCAGCTCAGAGTGCAACTTGACACACAGAGCCATGTTCTGGTGTCCACTTGTTGCTTCCTGAGGTCACAGCCAGGTTCCTTAGGAGTGTCCTCATCCCAGAGGTAGGCAACAAGTTCAAACCTTACCAGAGCATGTCACTCCAGCATCCCGTCTGTGAGTACAGTCTCTTGGACCCCATACAACGTGGTTGCAGTCAGACAGGGCAGACTCGGTACCACGACAGTCAACATAATCCATCCAAATGGGCCCAGATCCTGGCCCAAAGTGTGCATTCCAATGAACTTTGAGAGCACCTCCACAGCCCAGCTGTCTACAAACCACTGCAGCATCGGTCATGTCCCAGCGGTCATGGCACACGGTCCCCCACTGGCCCTGATGTTTCACCTCCACTCTCCCAGCACAGCGACTGCCGCCATCCACCAGCCTCACCTCCGCAGCCCCTTCAAACACCAACACAGGAAGGGTCAGGAGAGTTTTGAGCCCCACATTGTGTGTCCGTGAGGACCCCCTCCCCAGGCAGACTCCCAGTTCCCAGGGTGGGATCCCTGACCCATAGGCTGTCTCAGGGGCAGCGGGGGGTTCCTCCTCTCCCCATGGGCTATGCTGGGCTGCGGGTACCCAGCTCTAGCCCTCCTGGGCCATTTGCTGCCCCACAGCCCTCACCACCTCCTCCCACCCCAGCGGACCCCTGCCCCCACCCATGCCCACCCCCACACAGCCCCTAGCCCTGCATGGGGCTCCCACTCCTCCCCATCCCAGTGTCCCCCAAAGAGACCCATGCCCCTGAGCAGCTTCCATTGCCCATTGTCTGCCACAGGCAACTCCCAAACCCACTGTCTGGGTTGACCACAAGTTTACCAACAGCCCACATTCCTACCCAATCCCTGCTGTCAGACAGGCCCCTGTGCTTGACCAGGGCCCCCAAGAAAAACACCTCTCGGTGCAAATGCCTCAATCCCCTTCTGTTAATGGGACAAAACCTGCGCTTCTGGAGTCCGTGTTTCCCCAGATCCCAGGGGCAGGGAACAGCAAACAACCCCCCTGGGGCACCCGAGACATTGGCTGTGCCCTGGAGCTCACTGAGGGCCACTCTCACTGTCTGGGACTCCTCTAGATCCAGAGGCACAGTGCTGGGGAACAAGGGGTCCCAGAAAGGTACCCAAGGACAAGGTATCAAGAAATGAAGTCAGGCTTGGGCTGCCAAAAACATGGGAGATATGAAAATGGATTACCCCCTTCCACTCAGACAGGCACAGATTAAAGAAGAGAGCTGAGAGACTGAGCACCTTCTGCCTCTCATATGAGTGGTGCCTGAAAACAACCCCACTCCCAGAGAGATCCCAATGACCCCACTGCTGCCCACAGTCCCAAGGCTGTGGAACAGAGAAGCTGGCACTTACCTCTGCAAGGCTGCACCCAGAGGAACAGCCACAGCACCCAAGGGGACAGGAGTCCCTCTGTCCCCATCCTGAGGCTCCTGTCCTGACAGCACAGCCCTGCTGCTGGAGCTTCTGGGGACCCACGGTGAAATGGCAATGATATGATGGGAGGGCAATATATCTGTGCAGATGCTGTCCCAGATGCAGGAGGAGCCAATCGAAGCAGCAGGCACCTTTTTAGACGTTATCGGCACTTATCTCCCCTCCGACGCAGCCCAGCTCTCCAATGAACTTCTCCAGCGCTCTTCATGACCATATATGAGGGACGGCTCTGCTGCGGCTCTCACGTCACTGCGGTGGGACATCATCGTGGGGTAGGGCTGGGTGTGGGGGCAGATGGCTCTGACACCCCTTGCAGCCTGCTGTGGGAGCACGGAGCATTTCCTAAGCTGTAGCATCCAAGAGCCCAAGGTGCGATTGTCCGGCCGTCCCCGCGCCATGGGATCCAGGAGACTGGTCCTGCAGCAGGGCTGTGTGAGGCTGGGAAGGGACCAGCCCCTGCCCCTGCTACAGCCCCTGCTGTGCTGGCAGCAGCAGCTGGGAAAGGCCCTTGGGCAGGGCCAGAGCCCCATGATGGGGGTGCTGGCTGTCCCGTCCCTCCCCAGGGAGCCTCCTGTGGGCTCCCGGCAGCAGCCAGAGCTGGTCCAGGGCCTGCCCTGGCAGCAGAGCTGCAGCCCAGAGCCTCAGGCGTCTCCGTGGCTCTCAGCGTGTCACCCAGGGGCCGTTATTCCCCGCAGCGGGTCGGGAGCTGGAGCCTGCCTGCCACTGCAGGTGCACAAACCGCAGCCCACGTGACATGGCGCCCGGGCAGGAAGACGGTGGTTTCCTCCTGGCCCCGTGCCCAGGCATGGCCCTGCGGTGCCTCCCGGCCTCCCCACAGCTCCAAGCCTGGCAGGGTTCAGGAAGTGTTGGACAATGCTCTCAGATATACAGTTTTATATATATGTATATATAATTTTAAATAAATATATATATATTATAAATACATATGAAAATATATATATTACTTATATATTTTATTGTATCATATCATATCATTAAATCATATCATATTGTATTATAACACATTATATTTATTGTTATGTTGTGCTATGTTATGATATATTATAGATTATATTATATAAGATATATATGATGTATATTTATTATATATAATATATTATATATTGTATATGGTATATATTATATTATATTATATTATATTATATTATATTATATTATATTATATTATATATATTATATGTTATATGTTATTAGTTTTGTTATGCATTTTTTATTTTTATTTTATTTAAATAATATATATTATATTGCATTGAATATTACGAGTTTTTATAAATATACATATAATGTTTTATGTATGTATATTTATACATATACACATACATTATATTTTAATGTTTTTGATATTAATATTTTATAGTTTTTTAGATACATATAATTTATTTTTATTCTGAAGGCTGAAGTTGGACTCACTGATCTTCAATTATTTCCAGAGCAGGATATTTCAAAATTCAGTTCAACCAATCTCCAGGTGATGCCATAGCATCTTCACTTGCCATGGGCCTGTTCCTGGCCTGTATTCAGAGAGCAATGACCTCACAAACACCTACACAATTCTTGGTCTGCCAGCTCCTCAGGCACCAGTGGCCTCACAGGTACAATGCATGGGCATTGCCCTGACCTAGCAGCTACTTGATCACCAATGAGCTCCCCACAGACCTACAGAAGCCATGTGCTTATTCCTGGCCTCCTGGCTTCTCAGGCACCAGGGTCCTCCCAGCATCTAGCACAGGCCATGTTTGCCCTCAGCCAGTTAGTTACACAGGCACCACTGGCATCGCAGGAATATTCACCTGCCATGGGCCTGCTCGTGGCCTATCAGATCTTCAGCTGACAGTGACCTCATAAGCACAGATGATCTATTGGAAGATGTCAGAGTCCCTGCCCATGATGGGCGGTGGCTGCTCATGCTCAGCTGGCTGTTGACCAACATCCCCAGGTGCTTTTCTGTTGGCATCTGTCCAGCCACTCTTCCCCAAGCCTATGCTGCATGGGATTGATATGATCCAAGTGCAGGAGCTGGCACTTAATCATTGTTGAATGTCATGTGATTGCACTCAGTCCATCAATCTAGCCTTTCCAGATGCCTCTGAAAAGCTTTCCTTCCTCAAGAAGACCAGCTGTCCCAACAAACTTGTTATCATCTGCAAATGTACTAAGGGTGTACTTGATCCTCTCAGTCAGATCATCCATCAAAATAGTAAACAAAGCTGGACCCAGTACAGAGGCCTGGGGAATGCCACCCACGACCATCTACCAACTGGATTGATCTCTCTTCACGCAGACTCTTTGAGCATGGCCATTCAGACAGTTCTTCAGCCAGCAAACTGTACTCTTGTCCAAGCCATGAGCAGACGGATGGGTTGTCATTCTGCAGGGCTGATGCTACTGAGTCCACACTGAGAAGATGTAGCTCCTTCTATTAGGCTTTTTGTGATGCCCTGTGCTCAGTCCTTTCAAACCAAGTAAGCATGAAGCTGGTGCTTGTGATGAGCTGGTTCTCAGCTCATGTTCCAGTTACTTGCTAGCATGTATCATTGTTGTTGAGTTTGTACAGCACTGGCATTCTTGCATTCCCTTTTGTCTCTGCTTGAATCTGCATTGTCAATGGTAGTTCAGGAATACTGGAGGGGTGGCTGCGGGGAAGCATGAGGTTGCATCTGTCATGGTGGGACCTCGGTCAGCATTCACAGAGCAGTGACTCAACTGTGACACAGACAGGAATTCTATCCTTTGAGGGAATCCCAAAGGTAATTCCTTCTTGAAGGGTGATGCCATCCTGAGTCGTGTCCTTGCCTGTGCAGCATCTGTCAAATGGCTGATATAAGTTTCTCCTCAAAAGAAAGTGCCTAGCGTGAGGGACTGTCTAGAGCTGGGCTCCTCTCCACAGTTCTGACACAGAGTCTTCTCTTGCAGGGGCTCTCCAAGGGCTGCAGCCTCCTTCAGGCCACATCCACCTGCTCCCACATGGGGTCTTCCATCAGCTGCAGTGTGGCGATCTGCTCCAACATGGCGCACCACAGGGGAACATTTTCTCCAGCACCTGGAGCACCACCTCACCCTCTTTCTTCACTGACCTTGGTGTCTGCAGGGTTGTTTTCTCTCTCAGTTTCTCAATCTTCTCCCGGCTATTCCCTCATAGAATCATAGAATCATAGAATCATAGAATATCCTATGATTCTATGATTCTATGATTCTCATGTAATTTTCAACCCCATTCTTTAAAAAGCTCTCACAGATGTACAAACAGCATTACTCATTGGCTGAGTTTGGCCAACAGCATGTCCCTTTTGGAGCTAGCTGGAAGTGGCTGTTGTCTACGAAGGGGCAGCTTCTGGACTCTCCTCACAGACACCAGCCCTTCAGCTGCCCCCTGCTACAAAACATTTTCCATGTAAGTCCAATACAACCTCCCACCCGCAAAGTAAAAACAGAGCCCAGACAAGCAGCAGCAGACCCATGAGCTGGCAATGGCAAGGCACATCAAGGCCTGCTAGCAGAGGCAAACCCTGGGAGAACTGCTCTGAGGTTTTTTTGCTCTGCCCTCCATGGATGAGATAAAACAAGGAGGGTTTTGGCAGGGGTTGAGCTACTTCTCACTTGTGCTTAGGTGGGAGGTTAGAAACCAGCCCAGATGTTTGTACCAAACCCAAACACACCCACACACATCCCAGAGCAACAGGGACTGCACTTCCACAGGCCACCTCTGCACACCTGTGCATTTCCCTACAGGACACATTGGGTGACACACACCTTGGACATTCCAGGACCAAGGGGTCTCTGCAGAGATACTGGAGCTTGGCTCAGGGCATGTGCTAACCCTGCTTTGGGCTGGACAGATCCCCAAAGTGCTCAGTGCAGTTTTTCCAGCCTGTAGAATTCAAGTAATAGTCAAACAAGCTTTGAGAATGTGCTTCAACAAACACCTGTACAGCCATGGGCCTCCTGCTGCCTCCTCAGACCCTGAATCACAGCTGACCTCAGCAGAACATCCCCACCCATCGCCTCCTTCAGTCCTGTGACCTGACCACATCCATGTCACCTCACCTGCCTCCTCCAAGACCAAGCGATTGCTGTAGGACCTCTCAAGCTCTGCCCAGCCTCATGAGGTCAAACTGCTTCAGTTAGGTGATTAGACCACAGGAATGCAGGATTTGGGGCTTAGGTGTTCAGGTTAGGGTTTAGGGATTAGATCTTGCCTTCCAGGGTTAGTGGTTGAGCAGAGTATTAGAGGGAGGCCTGTGTTTACTGTTTTGGGTTCTGTCTTTCTGTAGTGTAGAGACGATGTTATTTGTTGGGATTTTCTTCAGGGCTCTGTTGAGGAATCATGTTAAGGCTGGAATTCAATGCTAGGGATGAAAGGCTGAGGAATAGGGTGAGAAATGAGTTGAGTGTATGGTAAGGCCTTATGGATTTAGGATTTGCTAACCCACGCCAGGTGAGGTTTGAGGTTCGGGGTAAGAGTAGTGGATTCCTTGCAGAGAGAGGGATAGCATTTAGGTGTAGGGGTAGGGCTTACAGTTACTGCTTAGAAATATTGCCAGGGCTTGACATGGATGTTTTCCTAGTAAGTGTTGCAGCAACACAGCCTTGCCTGAACCCCTCCCACCTCTTCCAGATCTTTCCTTTCTGTTAGCCAAGTCCCTCTTTTCTCCACCAGATTTCCCACCTTTATTCACCCGCCTTTCCCCTGTCCTCACAAGATACATCACCCTGTTGGGGGCAGCTTTCTGAGGGCCTTTATTGACCTCAGAGGCTCTGCCTCCGTGCTGTTGGCCAGACAGGTGCTGGGACAGAAGTGACCTCACCGCCAGCACCCACAGTGCTACAAGGAGCTGTTGTTCTCAGGAGGCCTCTTCCCAGCCCAGCCCATGAAACACATGAGGTCAGTGGCAGTGTCCTTGCTGCAGGAGATGCCCTGACACTCCCCTCCACCGCCACCCCCAGCTTGGCCCTGGAGATCCTCAGGCAGCACCACTGCACACACTCAGCACACTGCTCTGCTCCCAGTACACCCCATGTCCCACACAGCCTTGCCCCAGCCCAGCACATCTGGGCTGGCCTGAGCAGCCATTCCTGAAGCCCCTGCCCATGCTGCCCATAGCCACTGAGCTGGCAGTGCTGCTCTGCAAAGCGAGGGGCTGTGGTGCACGAGGCCTTGCATTGAACTTGTGTGATTACATTTTATTTCACAGATGCTATGAGAAAGTCTTCACTGACTCACTTAAAGGGTTGTTGCACTTTTATACAGCCTCCATATGAGACAGAACAGTTTCATTCATTCATAGCAATGGGGGGAATTAAAATATTTATGTAGGAATGTAATGAACACAAACAGTCATAATGACAATAAAAAAGGAAAGGAAAGGAAAGGAAATGGGAAGGGAAGGGAAGGGAAGGGAAGGGAAGGGAAGGGAAGGGAAGGGAAGGGAAGGGAAGGGAAGGGAAGGGAAGGGAAGGGAAGGGAAGGGAAGGGAAGGGAAGTTATAAATATAAGCCTGGAAGGGGATGTACTAGGATTCATTATTGGTGGGTGAAGGGATCTTTATGAGTATTGAAAAATATCCCACATATTTGTTTCCTAACTGCAACCTTGAGCTCCTTGTTCTTCATGCTGTAGATGAGGGGGTTCACTGCTGGAGGCACCACCGAGTACAGCACTGCCAGCAAAAGGTCGAGAGATGGCAAAGAGATGGAGGGGGGCTTCAGGTAGGTAAATATAGCAGAGCTGAGAAACAGGCAGATAACAGCCAGGTGAGGGAGGCACGTGGAAAAGGCTTTGTGCCTGCCCTGCTCCGAGGGGATCCTCAGCACTGCCCTGAAGATCTGCACATAGGACAGCACAAGGAAAACAAAACACCCAAATGATAAAACAGCACTAACCAGAAGAAGCCCAATTTCCTGGAGGTAGGCATCAGTGCAGGAGAGCTTGAGGATCTGGGGAATTTCACAGAAGAACTGGTCCAGGGCATTGCCTTGGCAGAGGGGCAGAGAAAAGGTATTGGCAGTGTGCAGCACAGCATTGAGAACACCACTGCCCCAGGCAGCTGCTGCCATGTTGACACAAGTTCTGCTGTCCATTGTTGTCCCATAGTGCAGGGGTTTGCAGATAGCAACGTAGCGGTCGTAGGCCATGATAGTAAGGAGAGAAAACTCTGCTGTGAGAAAGATGGCAAACATAAAAAGCTGGGTAGCACAACCTGCATAGGAGATCGTCCTGATGTCCCACAGGGAGTTGGCCATGGCTTTGGGAACAGTGGTGGTAATAGTGCCCAGGTCAATGAGAGAGAGGTTGAGGAGGAAGAAGTACATGGGGGTATGCAGGTGGCGGTCGCTGGCTATGGCTGTGATGATGAGTCCGTTGCCCAGGAGGGCAGCCAGGTAGATGCCCAGGAAGAGCCCAAAGTGCAGGAACTGCAGCTCACGCGTGTCTGAGAATGGCAGGAGGAGGAATTCTGTGGGGAAGCTGCTGTTGGACATTTTCTGCCTCTGGGCATGGTTGGCTGTCCATGTAGGAAAAGACATAGACAATTAAGACAGGGTTTTTGAGAAAAACCTACTTCATTTCTCACAGGCCCTTTGCACACCCACTTTCATTCTCCCCATCTCAGGATGGTATATTTACGGCTACCCAGCTGGCAATCTGCTCTCTGTTGGTTGAGTGCACTGTGAGGAACCTGGAGGCTTCCTCACAGAGAGGCCCCCACTTCTGGGGAGGTTCCTGTTGGTGGATGGCCTGAGATTTGAGAAGGGAATTCGTAGCTTTGTCCATGTGGGACTAAATTCCAAGGCCAGCATTCAGCATTTATGTTGGCACCCATGGCCATCTGCCCCTGAGACAAGATCACTGGGAGGGATTCTTCCACTTATAATCATAGAATCGTTAAGGTTGGAAAAAACCTCCAACATCATCCGGCCCAACCATTCTCCTATCACCAATATCACCCACTAAACTATGGCCTTAAGTATTACGTCCAAGCTTTTGTGAAACACCTCCAGGGACGGTGACTCCAACACCTCCCTGGCAAGCCATTCCAATGCCTGACCACTCTTTCTGGGAAAAACATTGCTCCTCATTTCCAACCTGAACCTCCCCTGGTGCAACTTGAGGCAATTCCCCCTTGTCCTACTGCTGGTTATCTGCGCGAAGCGGCTGACCCTCAGCACCCCACAACTTCCTTTCAGGTAGCCGTAGAGTCCTTCCTCTTCACCTTCTTCAGTGACCAAGTGACGGAGCCAGTAACCACTGAGACAAAGCCTGTTCTCACCTCAGCCTGTCCCCTGCTCTTTCTCTCCAGGCATGAGAACTGGAGAGAGCAGGATGGAGGAAACAACACTGTCGCTGTGCTGTGTGCCCTTGGTGAATTGTACCCATCGTACAGAGAGGCTGTGCAGTAGCTTCATGCTCATTCTTCAGCAGATGGGCTGTGACACGGGGTCATACTGATGCCATTTCATAGGGCTTAGCTTCTCCCACTACACCTGTGCAGTGTTCTCAAAGGGGTAACCATCCTTGTCTTCGGGCCAATGTGAAGTGCCCTAAGGATCAGTACTTGCGAAGGCAGAGCCAGATCATTTCTCAGTCCTCTTGACTGCCCTGCCAGGATCTCCACAGGTTAGAAGGGCCCTTTGGCACCTTGTTCCCCTGCAGACACCTCCTGAGCACCAGTGTCTGATCCTCAGCTGAACCCCTCCCCACCACCCCAAGGAGCTGACACACCCAAGAGCCCCAGCTGAAGAGAAAGACTGAAACAGGTGGAGGGAAAAGGACAAGCAGCATGACCGAAAGAGGGGAGGGGAGAGACAGATGAGCAAGCAGAAAGGGGTCACCCTGCCAAGCCATGCCTGCTGCCTGCCAGGCAGCACCATGGCAGAGCAGTGGCTCTCAGCCCATTGCTGAGCACTGGGACAGGGTACATAACAGGAAAGGAAGATCTGACTTCTTCTGGGGGTCTGGCTACACAGGAGGCAGCTGCTACCCAGGACCCTCCAGCCCAGAGAGCAGAGACTCTGCTGGGTGGGAGAGGAGAGCTGAGGGGGGTAGCTCAGGGACGGAACCTGCACTGCAGGGGATGGCAGGAGGTTCCTATATGTCCTCTGCAGCAGGCTTTCCCTTTGCAGTTCCCTCTTTCTATGCTGATCTCTGCTGCCTGCAGCCGTTCCTGCCAGGAGCTGCTTCTCTGTCGCCACATCTGTGCCCTGACAGTGCTCCCAGAACCTATCCCATCTGCTGTGCTCAGCTCTGCCCTGCACCCTCTCAGTGTGTACAAGTGCTGAACAGCAGGTCACAAAAGCCTTGATGAAACTGGGAAGGTGGTGCTGCTGCATTCTGAAGGGCTCTTGGTACTGAATGCCCTTTCTGAGGTTCCTCATAAAATCTGGGGTGACATGAAATCTCTGTACAACTCTGTTTCCATTCCCATCCTGATGAACCAAAGAGAGGTGAAAGCACAGCTTCAGGAAAGCCTCAGACTTGACCTTCCTTTTGAAGAATCCTCTCTGACATGGTCTGGGGGTGCCATGGAGCTGTGAGCTGCCTAACCCAGGCAGAAATCTGCAGGCACCAGCAGGACCCTGCCATGCCCTGCCCTGCCTGGGAGCTTCTTTCCACATGCAGCTTCTCCCCGCAGTGTCCTGGGCAGCTGCCCAGGCAGGCTGAATGCTGAGCCTGGCAGGCAGCAGAGGCCCTGCCTCAGCACACAGCCCCTGGGGCACAGCAGGGACCCTGCTCTTCACCACAGCCCTGGCTACCCCTGCCTGCACCCCAGCTGCACAGCCTGTAGCCGGCCCCATATGAATGAACCCCCATGTCCTGTACTTCTGACAGCTGCGTCTGGTTAACCCTGCTCTGGAGTATGTCATTCATACAGTAGAGACAGTAGAGTCCTCCTGACAGCTCCCATAGGCTGTGGGATTTGCCAGCAAATCTGGAGATGGCACCAGGAACAACAGCTGCGTTGCCCTGCAGCCAGAGACTTACCCTGCTCAAGACTGTGAAGATTTCTCCTGCAGTGAGCTCTCAGCATCCCCCCTCCACACTGCCTTTAACATCTCCCTCCCTTCTCTCAGCGGCCCTTGTCCCCTGCAGGCAGTGCCCCCAGCCCTGCTGCTGTGCTGTGCAGAGGAGCTGCTCCTGGGCAGAGCTGTCTCTCTGCAGTGCTGCCCGCTCGCCAGGAGCTCCCCTTGGGCCCATGAGCCCAGCCCAGCTCAGCAACACAGGGAGCTCTTGACAAGTCCTTGGACCTCCAGAGGAATCAACTTTGAAACAGGCTGATGCAATCACTGATTTTTTTCTCTCAGCTGGGGATGAGCACTTATTTCCAGTTGTGTGTTTTCCCCTAATTCAAAGGAAGGGTTTCGCATGAGAGTATTCTTTTCTTGTCCCATTAGGAGACCGGACACCCACAAAGTGACAGGGAGGCTGCATCGCATTTATTCCAAATATTTGTTGATATTAAGCGGGAGAAACTTTTTGACAGAGACTGAAATCCCTCTGTGTACATAAGCTACACAAGCAGTTGTTGTCCTGCAGGATCATTGTATCCTAGAATCCTTTGGGTCTGAATGAACCTTAGACACCATCTAGTCCCAACCCCCCTGTCATGGGGAGGGGCACCCTTCACTAGACCAGGTTGCTCAAGGTTCCGTCCACCCTGATCTTTGACCATTTTGGTTAGGCTTTTGAATGGGTTGCTCAGGGAGGTGGTGGAGTCACCATCCATGGGGATGTTTAAGGAACACTTGGTGCTTAGGGACATTGTTTAGAGGGTAATATTGGTGGTTGGGTGATGGTTGATTTGGAGGTCTTTTCCAACCTTAATGTTTCTATGATTCTATGAAATGTAGGCCTCCAGGATCTTAGAACCATAGAATGCTTTGCATTAGACAGGACATTAAAGACTATCTAGTTCCAGCCCCCTATCCATGGGTAGGGGCTAATCCCACGAGATTGGGTTTTTCAAGCTCTCATACACCCTTACATTGAACACTACCAGGGAGGGGGCATCTACAACTTCTCTGTGTAATCTCTTCCAGTGTCTCACCACCCTTTGTGTGAATAATTTCTTCCTTAGATCTGATCTAAATCTACTCTCTTTTAATTTAAAACTTGTTGTCCTAGCACTATGCTCCCTGATAAAGAGTCTCTACAGCTCTCTCCTATTTTTCTCCATCTGTTCTGCTAAGGAGAGTGAGGCTGAGAGTGGCTGTGGGGAGCTTGGTTACCTCCTGGGGATAAACCACAACACATCCAGGGACACAAACATGACCAACAAGTGATAAAGGAAGCAGTGGAGGGAATCAAACATGGTCAGTCACACTGACTGGTGAGAGCATGGAGAGAGGGTTTCCCAACATTGTCAGCTGGGAAACCAAGGAAAAAGGGGAAATGCTGGTAAAAGGACATGTCCTAGGAGGACAGCTTGAGGACCCTTTGGCCATCTGGTCCATAGAAAAGAAGGCTGAGGACTGACCTCATTGTTCTCAACAACTTCCTGGGAGGGGGAAGTGTTGAAGGAGGGGATGAGCTTTTCTCTCTTGTAACTGAACTCGCAACGTGGGAATGGCACATAGATGCACCAGGGGACGTTCAGATGGGGCATTAGGAAAAATTTCTGTACTGTGAGGGTGGTCAAACACTGGAACAGGCTTCCTAGAGACCTGGTTGATGCCCCGTGTCTGTCAGTGCTCAAGAGGCATTTGGACAATACCCTCATACATAGTCTCTAATTTTTGTTTAACCCTTAAGAGGTCAGGAAGTTGACCTTTGAAGGTCCCTTCCAACTGAACTATTCTGTTCTAATCACTACAGACTTGGCTAAACCCCATTTGTGTATTGGAAGGCCACAATAACGTCTACTGGAGTCTTCTCAAGGCTAAGCAATCCCAACTTTCTCAGGCTGTCTTCACTGGAGGTGTCCTTCTTGTGCATGGCATACTTTTTGTCCTGGTTTCAGTTAGCACAGAATTAATTTTCTTCCTAGTAGCTGGTGGAATGCTGTGTTTTGGCTTAGGATGAGAAGAGTGCTGATAACACCCCGATGCTTTAATTGTTGCAGAGCAGTGCTTATACTAAGCCAAGGACATCTCAGCCTTTTGCTCTGTCCTGCCAACGGGCAGGCTGGGGGTGCAGTAAGAGCTGGGAGGGGACAGACCCAGGACAGGTGACCCAAACTAGCCAAAGGGGTATTCCATACCATCTGACGTCATGCTAAACAATATATAGGGGTGGCTAGCCGGGGGGAGGGGGCCGGACTGCTCGGGGTTAGGCTGGGCATCGGTCAGCGAGTGGTGAGCAATTGCATTGTGCATCACTTGTTTGTACATATTATTATTACTTTCCTATTATCACCATTGTATTATTATTGTTATTATTTTATTATTATTTTGTTATTATTATTTTCCTGTCTTATTAAACTGTCTTTATCTCAACTCACGGGCTTCACTTTCCATTTCTCTCCCCCGTCCCAGAGAGGGAGGGGGGAGGGTGAGCGAACGGC